TTCAAATGTCGCAAATTTTATGAAATGTGCATGTGCTTTATGTAAAAGACGAAGGAGACAAAATACATTTTATTTGAAGTAACTTACATGATAATGCGGAACTAAATTTCAATAGCGAACGTTTCTGGTCGGATGACAATTCCGTTGTACCGCGTTCTGTTTACAGAGCAACGTGGGTGCTGTGACAACGCTCACATGGCAGGATAGTGCATAAAAAACTCACGTCAGTCTTAATTGTTGTTTGTATATAACAAAATGGGTAAAAAGCGGCGCAACGACGAGTCTGCTGAGTCAGACACTCCGCGGAAAAAAGAAACGATTCCGGAGTTCAATGGGACAGTTTTTAAAGCCATGCTGAAGGACCCGACTATAGCCATGAAGGGTGAGTGATAGTATGTACAAATCATCAGCTTGAAGTCATAATATTGTGTTAGGCATTCAGTCAACTATGCATTGTTTTATCGGCATCCCGCCTTTGCCCCCCTCCTTTTTTCGTCTCCAGGACTGGAGAAGTTTATATCGACAGCTAAGAAGTTGCCACGGTCCGACCTGTACGATGTGGTTGAAGGTTATATTAAAATCTCCATGGAGTGTGCAGAGATCTTCAAATTGCTCGAAGGAGAAAAACACGTAGAGAGTGAGGTAAGCTTTAGTTTCTCAGCGGACGGCTCTGGCCCGGCTCACTCTTTCTGAGGTTTCTGAGTTAAACTCTGATCGTGTTTCTGTACAGATGATGCTGATTTTTGGGAGCCTGGAGGCGATCCTTCTAAGGACAGCCAGTGACCTCTCCCATTTCAACATGGTCGGCAATGCCATTGTGAAGAAGACCGTTTTCAGCTACATGAAACTCCTGCAGGGGTCTTTCCGTTCAGCAAACCACAGGTTGATTTGTGGATTTCAGTAGAGCACAATGACACTCAGTTTAAAATCATTCTGGCTCAAAAAAAACAATGTTGTTTCCCTTTGAACACAGGTTCATCCGCCAGTGTCTCGGTCTTCTGTGCGCCTTGGTCACCCAGGGTCCAGAAGCTGCCAGAGAGGTCTTAAGTCACCTTCACATTAACAAATTTCTGTCTGGATTGGCAAAGATGAAGGATAAGCAGGTGCGATGCAGTATTTGTCCACAGGGTTTATGATGTGCCTCAGATTAGTCTTATTCTGTAGATAAATCTTTTCTGAATATTATAATTTTACAGGGTAGACCTGATGTCCGCCAGGCTTTTATCCAGTTTGTGCTCTCTTTTGTGGTGTCTGGTGATAACACAACAGTCGGACAAATATTAGAAATCAAAGGTAATATTTAGATATAAATTATAATTTATGCAGTGGACTGTCTGTGAGTAACATGTTCATTTGGTGTGTTAGAACTCCTGCCAGTGATCCTGAATACAGGTCTGAAGGAGGACCGGATGTCCACAGTCAACCTGATTTTGTCCACATTAAAAACTAAAGTAAGTATTAGTCCAGGACATTTGAGATCAGATCATGGATTTAGTAATAAGATGTATTCCTTTCTGTCTTTCTGTAGGTTGTTCTAAACAAAGCCATCAGTAAAACACAGAAAGTACGTTTCTTCACACCTGCTGTGTTGGCCAGCATTGCGTCGCTGTATAAATGGAATGGGATTGCAGATGCAACCGTGGATGATGACAGAGTAGGTCGCTTGTTGTTTTGCTGTTTTGTGTCAAAAGAAACAAAGATTGCGTCAGGTCAGTTTACTTTAACATGTCCAAGTAACATTTTTATTTAATTACATGATATTTTTAAGATGTCGGAAAACACTGAGCTTTCTGGGATGACAGTCATCCGGGAACTCGCTCACAGTTTCCTGCTTGATCTGTGTTGCTCCCGTAAGCATGGTATCAGCTTTCATGATGTCAGCTTTGGCACAGCTGGCAGGTAAGTCATTAACATTCCAATTTCACATTGTCCTTTTCTGAGAACTTCTCATGTGGATCACTGGATTTTACTTCTTTGCAGGCCTGGTAACATTGTTTTGCTCCAGTTTTTGGTGGGGCTGAAACAGGCGACTGAGGATGAACTGGTGGCAGATCTGGTGGTGAATGTGCTGAAAGCTACCCCCGATATTTTGTCCAGATACTTCAAGGAGACTCAGTATGCATATGCTCCGCGCCTCAAAACTACTTGGCAAGACAATGTGAAGCTTCTTAAAAAGGTAACTGTCAGTGGTAAAAGTGTTAAGATAATATCTTATCAGTTTTAGATGGTAATCGTCACCTTTGCATTTCTATATCAGATCTACGAGGCCCAGCCAGAGATTTCCACAGTCTTTCAAACTCAGGAGGTCATCCCTCTGCCTCGCCTGCTCTCCATGGTGATGGTGATATCTCTTCCTCCAGTCTGCAACAAGAGCTTCTTCACACAGGGCCTTATTGTAAGTGACTGAGCCTCATAAAATAAACTTATTACTGCAGTAAAGACTGAAAACCTTTTTTTGACTTAAATGTGTCTTCTCTGATTTGACAGCTTGCTAATACAGGAGCACACCTTACAACCCTGTCGGTGGTCAATTTCATCTTGAAAAGAGCCAGTAAGAACATAGAGTATCTTTTGGATAAGTCTGTGTGGTGCAGCTCAGACCTATACACTGCTGAGATGATGGAGGATTTAGTGCAGCAGTACAGGGAGATGCTCGGCAAGGTAGGTTCAGGAAAGTGCCTTAATAAAAGCAAATGATCCACCTTTAAAGGCTCAAATCATTGTTCATGCTCTGTTCCAGATTTTGCCTGACATGACAAGCATAATTGAAAAGTGGCAGTCACTTAGCAAGAAGGAAAAAGCTGGCTCTGAAGAAAAAAAGGATAAAAGCGAAGGGGATGCTAAACTGACTAAATGCAAAGTGCCTGGTAGTAGCATTCACAGTACATGATTATTGTTTATTCCAATTAATCCTATTTTTTTTAAAAAACCCAAAAGGATCTGAGTTGATTGTCTTGTGTGCTTTATTTTGGAACAGCTGAAGATACAGCTGAGGTCATTTTGCTGAAGGCTCTGATTCTTCAGCTCATATGCCTTTACCAGAAAGTGGTGCCGCATCTGGTTAGCCAGTGCAAATTTGACTTCAGCAAGCTTTTAAAGGGTAATGTTTTTGGCGTTATTAAGCTCCAACTTTTGCTTTTTTTTAAAGTTTATTTTTTCCAATAAATGGCTTTTGACACTGGTTTTTATCTGTCCAGGCATTGTGTCAGAGAAAGGAATAAAGGAGGAAATCCCCCCAGTTTTGCAGCACCACGTACTGCAGTTGGCCTTGGATCTTCCCGCAAGCAAATTCTCCTGGTTCCGTATGCAGGTAAGGAAGTCAAATTCTCCGATTTATTTTTATTTTTGGTTTAAAACACATCTATTCTAAATAGTTTTTCTGTTTTTACAGGGTGCTGCAGATAAAGATTCATCATCTGGAGAGAAATCGGTATTTTACCTGCTTCTCAAGATGTTTGTGAGCAGCAGCAGCAGCCACCTGAAAGCCTCCACACAGATGCTTGTTCTAAAAGTAAGGAGCATTTTGCCTTTTCCTCTGTGCTTTCAGTCTGCATTATATGAGACATACTGTATATATTTAGATATTTGAATTAGTGCTTATTTATTCAAGATTGGTCCACTTGGGCAAACAAACTGTAAGCATGTTATATTTTTATATACAAGGACATCATTCCTGGAGAGATTATATTTATGTATGTTAGCAGATATTTATCTTTTGTAGGGTACAGTTCAATCCTCCATTGAATTTTTTTTTAAGGTAATGAAATCAGAGCAGCTTAAGCTAAAGTCTTTTAAGGATTTTATTTTAAGAGGTTTATATTCGTGTGGACAAATTTCCTCCAGCAGTACTACTAAAGCAATTGGTGTCCTGTGTTGTATTTAGGTACTAAAGGACACTGGTGTGTTCGAGCACACCTGGACTGAGCTTGAGCTCTGGCTTGAACAGCTGGCTAGACTAGAGCCAAACCAGCAAGAAACTGTTATTCAGTTCTTGGAGCGGGTAAGTCTTCCAGTTTTTTCCCCCCCCTACTTTTCTACATAACCGTCATATTGGAGGTTGGACAAAATAAAGGTTTTAATCCTTATGCCTGATAATTAACTCTTAAAATCTGCCTCTTGCTCTAGGTGTTGGTTAAACTGGTGTGCAGTTCCTATGAATACACAGATAAAGTGGCCAGCCTGGTCCAAGAAGCAGGTTATCTGCAAGCGAATCTGAGTAGCCAGGAGGGTGACACAGCCAGTGTCCCAGTTTCTCACATAGATGGTAAGGATTTAAATATGGATTCAACGCTGAATTCTTCAGGGCTCAAGTAGGTCCGTGAATGTTTATGCTTTTTATTTTTTCATCTCAGATGTCATAGACATGCTCGATGTCATTATGGAGGCCAGTGATGGTGAGTTGGAGGAGTTCGGCCCAGCTGTAAGTGAAGATCTCATCATGCAAACCTTCCCCTTCAGTGCCCTGGTACCCGCTACCCTGGAGGCCCGAAACAAGCTACCAGCAGATAGTGGTAAAGGACCTCCGCCTCACTTGTGACAAAGAGTGAAATCACAAATTTGCAAAAAAAACTTTTAGAGCATGAAAATTGTTATGCAGTATAAGAAGTACAACTTTAAATATAGGGCCAGATTTACTAAACGGGACAAAATTGTATGCGAGTGCAATCACAGGCACAGTCAGTTCATTTCAATATCAAGCTCAAAAAATAAGATGTTTTCTCCGCATTAAATATCGCTGTAATTAGTACTAAACTGTGTGTCGCAAACTTTAGGAACTTAATTTGCTTGATTTAAATATTCTATTCCTGTATTTTTCACTTTGAGAAAGAATCTCCAACAAACACATTTGCAACAAAATCTCTGAGTTCCCATCTCTTGTAATATTGGCAATCACTGCGCTCTCTTTGTAAATACATTATGGGCTTTTGTTGTTGTTCAAGGTCCAGGATGTTGCTTTTGTTGTTGCCAAAACCCAGTTTAGTGAATCTGGCCCATAGCCTGTAATTAATGTTTAAAAAGACATTTACCCATTCTGTTCATGGACACTTTGATTGAAAAGTAAATGTACTGTGATCTATGATGTTTGTAACCATCTGTCTTTGTGTCTCTTAGGGATGGTATATGAATACTTGGCTGCAGTGCTCTCAGATGTGCTGCACTGTCAGAGAGAGCCGCTCCCTCTCTGTCTGGCTCTGCTGCAGTACGATAAAGAGTTTGTCTCCTCTGAATGCTGTACCTCTCCTCATTCAGCCATTGTATGTTTTCATCAGTATTACTCCAAGTGGCTACCACAGCAGTGCCGTGAAGAATTGGTGGGTTTTTAGTGATACAACGAGATTGCCTAACCAGACATGGTTAGACATAGTGTTTGGACTAATACTCTTGTTTATTTTGTTAGTTCCAGTCTTCTGAATGCCATGCAAAAGGATTATCAGATCAAACATCATACACTGCACTGATGAAAGCTGCCTACATCCAAGGTCCAGACACTTTGCTTAAGGATACCTTCAGGAAAAGTGCAGAAGAAGCTCTAGCTTCCTTTTCTCTGGGAGAGTTTCCAGTTGCAATCAAGCAGATATTACTCTACATCAGATCAACTGTGGAAAACTTTGGAACGGTAGGTGCGCAAAACAAGCTCCGTCCTCCTCACATCGTTGAATATGCAAACAGTGCATCATTTCCCTCTTCACAGTTCTCTAAAGACGTAGGAGCTTCCATGTTGAGGACCTTCATGGAAATACTTGAAAAGATGGTGATCAAGCTCCAAGGCTTTCAGGAGGCAAAAAACTCTGAACCAGCTGTAGTGAAATCCCAAGAAGGATCAGACCTCTTTCTGGAACTTAACCAGTCCTCCACAGTTGAAGTTAATATTCAGCAGGTTAGAAAAATAATGCGTTTACTGTGTTTTTTCAGACTTTGCAATATTCTCCTTTTTTGGAGTGAAGGATTTTTTTTAATGAAACTCTCTTTCTTTAGATCCTTCTTTCAGCTCTTGGCTCCATCTTCAAGCATCCATATCTGGAGCAGTGGTTTCTGGCTCTGGAGCTATCTGCCATGCCTCCTCACTCTCTAAACCCTGTCAGACTTAAGCAATTGTGTTCACTGATGACAGATAATATTCTGGTCCTCCTGAAGCTCTGTGCCCCTGTTCTTCAAGAACTAAATCATCTAGAGCTTCTGAGGAGTTACATGGGAGCTTTAGAAAGAGCTGCTCTTCAGGAATTGGTGGAGAAGGGCTCTAAACCGGCAAAGAAACACTCCAGAACTTTCCAGAGCCTCCTGTCTCTGCACAACTACATGGATTCCAGTAATTTGAGGGAAGTTGTCTCCAAGTTGCTTCTCCTCCCACACAACAGCCTCATCTCCCCCAGTAGCAGTAAGGGGGCAAATTTTGAGCTCAGCATTTACGGTCAGGCAGCTCTACAGATCCTCACAGAGTGTAAATATACGGCCTCCCAGGACCATGGCACATTTCTGACACAGGCACACCTCTTTGGTCTGGGCACACTGCTGCTGTCCTGTTCCAAGCCTGCACTGGAGGCATTCTTGCTCCAGTTTCTATCCAGTGAGCCAAGCAGTGCAAAGCTCCTCCACACAGATGTGCTGTTGCACTGTCTCCAAAGACCACTCTCAGACTCTCTGGCTATCAGCTCTCTCCTGCTGCAGAACTGCTCCACTCACCGGCTCCGGTTTGAGATGTGGTGTCTTGAACCTGAAAACATGGAGAAGCTTTCTGACCAATCAGAAGCCTTCCTTCCACTGATTAATATGTACTTACGTGTGGCAAGCAGAGAGGACCCAGCCAGACCCAAAGATGGTACGTACTGAAACCAATAATTGTTACTCTTTTATCTCGTATTGCTATAGATATACTAATTGAGATATGCTTGGCTGCTGTTGTTTCATAGTGCAAAAAGACATTTTGAAAGCCTTGAAGCAAGTGTTGCTTGCCAAGTTCTCCCAGTGTGTTCTGGGAAACTTGACAGAGGAGTCCGGAGCCCAGCTTACGGAAACTCTAGGCAGTTTGATAAAACTCTCTGCAAACAGCAAGGACATCAGGGATTTGATCAACAGTCTTCCCAGTGCTCTTCAAAATGTGGACAGTTTTGAAAGGTGAAATTTATATTATACACTACAAAACTACAAAAAATAAATAAACGATCCTGTCAAAATGTATTTGATGAATATTCTTTGCTCTTTCAGATGGCAACTAGTAGATGTTATCAGTGACAAGCTGGCTGATTGCCCAGAAGAACAGGAAAAATGGAGGAAGTCTGTCGCCACTGCAGCTATCAAGTGTCTCATTGCCTCTTACAGTCACTCGAAAGATCAGGCTACTTCCCCATTAGAGCAGGAGCACAGCATCTTAAAAAGACTACAGCGAGTCCTAGTGGGTTTACTTCACGCATACATCTTGTAAGTTTTAAACTTTTTGCATTTCCTAACTTACTTTCTTTATACAGATATCGAAAGAAGACATCACTGCATCTGAGTGGAACAATTTTGTCAAAAATGGACTAAAGTATGTTATC